CAAGCAAGTGATATACAAGCAGTTGGTTGAGCTACTTAAGAGGGATTTTCAAGGCGGTGATGATGGTGGTAACACTGCCGATGGTGATGCAGGTGGGGAAGATAATGGATTAGAGAATCTTGTTCCTGAAACAACGAATGGGGATTGTTATTGGCAAGGGGATTTGGAAGCTCGTCGAATTGAAAAAGGGGATGATGGGGTTTTTGCTGATGTTACTGCTGCTCCTCAGCCATCACTGCAGCAACAAACTTCTTTTACATCTCTGCTAACGATGCCGCCGCATATGGGCTTGAAAGATAGCGAGCGCATTGTTGATGACACTAGTGGATGGGATAGTAACCCAAATCGTCAAAGCATTCAAGTAATTTTTCAATTTGCTTTTGTCGCTTTTCTCTGTTCTGGCAACTGTTTCGTTTTTCAGCTTTTCTAGCATGCGCTTGTTTTGTAGTTTGATAGCTATAGCATAGCATTCTGTACGAAGGATGTTCTTCTTTGAGCTGTCCTTGACATACCCTCTAATTTTTTTCCTCCATTTCTTTGTCTGAAGCCTAAAGGAATGAATAAAGTTTTTTCCCAATTCCTAGGAATTGAGTTCGTACATTCTTAGGACGCTGCTTTGGCAGTCAACTGGTTTAACCTTTCAAAAGTAGTACAGTCTTTTTCTAAGGATATGAATGGCTATTAAGCTGAGATCTCACAGTGGTTGTAGAGGTGAACAAACTATTCTGGAAACCTTTCACCAGTAGACACATTTTAGAACATTGAGTAGAAGGCTAGGAGGGAAAGACCAAAGATGATATCAGAGTCAGGCATCGAACGGTGTGCCAGAGAGAACGTTGAGCCCCCAGGGGGGTGGATTGTGAGATCTCACATTGGTTGGAGAGGGAAACGAAGAATTCCTTATAAGAGTGCGGAAACCTCTCCCTAGTAGACGAGTTTTAAAACTTTGAAGGGAAAGCCTAAAGAGAACAATATTTACATGTGGTGTGGTGGACTTGAGGGGTGGACTTGAGGGATTACAATTAGATAGGCAAACTGTGTTCTTTCTTCTAGAGCCTCTATTTGATTTTTGCTGTAAATTGAATTGTTGCAATCATTCTCGGTTGCCAATGCTGGTTGTTCTCAATCGATTCCCCCTCCCTTTTTTCCTTCACACAAATTTTGGTGTATTATACCTGTTCTTTATCTGGGACTGTACTTGCTTGAAGTTAATTGAAATGATTCCTAGTGATCCTGCTTTCTTTTCGTTTGGAACCCGGTTTCTATACTCGTTCGTCGTAGCTATTGCTTTATGTCTCTGGCTTATCATTTGGGGAAAAACCGTAGCTATTGCTTTATGTCTTTGGCTTATCATTTCGTGAAGTTTTTCCTTATTATCTTCTGCTTGGCAGGTGCCTTGATATTATCAATGTCAAAACATGTAATGCCTGTCGTTGTTTCTGGTATCAACCCTTCGGTACCTTTCTTATTTTCCTTCTTTTCTATGCGTACTTTTTCCAGATTTGGGACTTTCATTTAGGACAATTACGGGGACACAAAGATTCGAACTCATTTGATGACGCCTACGGCACGAGCAACATCGGATTTACAATTAAAAATTTTGGTGATTTTTTGAAAGAAACATCCCCAACAAGCACGAAGTTGTTAGGAGAAACCTATCAGATCAATGGCTCTGGCATGCACGATGACTTGCCATCATTGAATGTAAGTCCTGCTCTGTATTTCACTTTTAGTGTGTTTCGAGTTACTCGTTGCCCTGAAGAAAATGTTGTTTCTTGATTACTGCGTCCATCTAAATGATTTTCTACTTAACCAGGAGGTTTGTTATATCCCATTCTTTCTCGTCTCTTAGAAGACTCACAATTATATTTCAGAGGTTTCATGAACAACGAGATCCATCTATGTGAAATTAAATATACTTGTCAAAGCGTGCAGAGTATGTGGAATCATCTAAACCAAACCATTTGTTGTAAATGCATTTGCTCTGGTTGTAGATGTATGATCGTATCCGATGTTTTGAGTTCTTGTCAGCTTGTTTGTCTAGTTTAGTAATCTTTGTTTGAGCGATGGTTGTGTACATGTAACTGTCCAAACCCACCGCTAGCAGATATTGTCCTCTTTAGGCTTTCCCCTTTTGGGCTTCCTTAAGGTTTTTATAACGTATCTGCTAAGGAGAGGTTTCCACACCCTTATAAAGAATGCTTCGTTCTCCTCCCCAACCGAACCGATGTGGGATCTCACAATCTACCCCCTTCGAGGCCCAGCATCCTCGCTGGCACTTGTTCCTTTCTCCAACCAATGTGGGATCCTCTGAAACACTCCTTCGAGGCCCAGCGTCCTTGCTGGCACATCGTCTTGTGTCCACCCTCCTTTGGGGCTTAACCTTCTCACTGGCACATCGCCTGATGTTTGAGGGAAAGTCCGAAAGGAAAAGTTCAAAGAAGACAATATTTGTTAACGATGAGCTTGAGTTGTTAGAAGATCCGTTCGGGAAATAGCTTGTATTTTATTTAATTTATAGGTTTTCCCAAAGCCCATGACAATCGGTCTAGACGTTGGCATGGATCAAATCTAACCCAGATACCCTCTGCCTACTTAATTGCTACATTTTCATGTGCTTCTTTCTTGTGTAGTCCTCTGCTCTTTTCCATTGGGAATTGACATATTTTCTCAAAATTGCAGAGTCATGTCAATAACTCAACGCTAAGCCATCGTGCAGCGACATGTGAGAGCAACAATCTGCCTAATGGTACTACCTGCAGCAAGCTGAAAGGCAGTTCAAAAAATGCGCAGCCAATCGAACAACAACCTATTATCGTAAGAGATGGTATATTGTCGACATCGACAACCAAGGCTGACTTGGAGCTTCTTGCACAGAATAGAGGCAACGCAATGCAGCGTTACAAGGAGAAACGGAAAACTCGAAGGTGCATACTTCATTCTCTCTTGTAAACTGTAGTTTTCTTTTGCATTTCTATCCCGGACCCTTGAGTGTAGCTTGGAACAGGTACGATAAATACATTCGTTATGAGTCAAGGAAGGCAAGAGCCGATACGAGAAAGCGAGTCAAGGGCCGGTTTGTGAAGGCTACCGGAGGCCATGCTTGTTGAAGATCAGCTCAACTCAGCTTCCATGGTTGAAAGTAGCTGTGTGTAAATACTTCGCCATAACCTTCCACTTATATTTGTACTAGGTGCAAACGCACGTGATTTCATCAGCTTTTCTTTTTTAGAAATAGTTAAAGAACTAATGTTATGCATTATATGAATAACGTCGATATCGTGGCGACTCTGATATCAGCCTAGCGCTCGGTACATCTATTATATCGAGTTGAAGAACCAATTCAAAATATAGAAAGTTGAGGGACTAAACTTGTAATTTAATTGTAAAAGTAGATATTTTTTTATCTTATGTTTCTAACTTTCTATACTCGGGTCAGGTTTGGCTTTGGCTTGCAGAGTAGTATAGTCTCGAGGCGTTTAACCTAGAGTTATTGAATCTATGTTTTCGAATTTTTAATAAAGACGTGTTTACGTAAATTTTATATAATTAAGCTCGTTTTAGGCTTAATTTCAACTTACCTCAATTGTTTACTCTACTTTTCAAATATAAAAAAAGTTGTTCATACTAATTGGTCCTACAAAGATTCCTTACGGGACTTGATAAATAGCAAATTAGCAAAGGGAAATTATGGCTTCTTTTAAGAAGTTTACCTAATGGACGAAATTTCCATTAAATTTGAAAATTCCAACATTATTTTTCCCTATTAAATCACAATTTTGTTTCTTAATTTCAAATTTATTATGACTAAAAAATTTATTAAAAAATAAAGTTTAACCGCAATACATAGTGGGTTAAAGCCTACAATATCTACTAGGGGTGGACTTGGGCGGATACAAATGGTAACAAAGTTAGAGCAATATGCCACTGAGGACGTTGGGTCTCTAAAGGGGTGGAACACAAATGGTATCAAAGTCAGAGCGATGTGCCACTGAGGACGTTAGGTCTCTAAAGGGGTGGATTGTGAGATTTCAAATCGGTTAGGAAGGGGAACAAAAGCACGATGGGACTGAGGGAATCTTAAACTTCTAAACTTAAAAAATATTAAATTGACCCGTAAACTTTCCATTATTTTATGTCTAATAAAACTCTAAAAGTTTCGATTTTTCACGTAGCATATTCATAAATTTAAATGAATGTGAGAACTAAATGAAGGGGCTGTCTCTTAAAAGTAGTTTCTTTGAACACTCTACTGGCTCTAAAAAGCACCATAAAACGAGCTATCTTCATCAATGGCGATGGGTACCATTTTAAGAGACTTAGAGGGAAAAAACATAGAAATTAAAGAGACGTATTTGAGCTTCCAAGAAGTAAGGGTCCCCCACTTCTTTATTCCCCATATTACAATTTTCTTTTCCTTTCCTTTCTTTTCCTTCATTTTCCAACTTTGTTTCCTTTCACCATACCAAAAATCTCTTGCTTCTTCATAGGGGTACGCAACCAAGTTCCCTTTCCCGTCCTCTTCGTCTCTCGACAAAATCCGCTCTACCCAACTCATAAAACATTCCAAAACGCTCGACCGTTTCGTACCGTTTGACCGTTTTGTACCGTTTGAGTCTACTATAGTAGATTACTCTTCATTACACCAAATTCATCATCTTTCCTTTTCTTTTCCCCTCGTGTCTTTATTCGATATCGACACAATTACATCAATAAAAGATTCGAGAAAACCGTTCTATGAATCTCCCACAATATAACCAACCGTTATATACCGTTTGAGTCTACTATAGTATGTGACGACCGTTACCGATTCATTAATCTAATCCCAAAATCTTTCGTTTTGTTTTCTTTCGACGTCTTCATTTCGATATCGTCACAATTACGTCAGTCAGTCAATAAAACAGTCGAATCGGGTCGAAAAAGAACAGGCGGAAGGGGGGGATCATATATTTCACTGTGGGGGAAATATGATTACACTGTATGTTTTTTTTTGTTTTTTCTGTTTTAATTATACTGTGTATGGGAAGGGGGAAGAACAGGGGATTGAGTAGAGGTTGCCCAGAAGCCTATAGAGCTTCATGGGAAAAGGACAGCAGCTACTTCAAGCTATACGCTTGTTTTTAAGTGTTCTTGTAAAAGCTGCTGGTTTCTTCATCGTCTTCTTCTTCATAATCATCATCGTCGTCATCATCATCAGAATTGCCCAGAGTAATATCAGTAACTCCACTTGATCCAGATGAAGAAGAAGAGGTAGGAGAGGGATTCAATTCAGTGTTGTTGGTTGCTCTCAGAAAGTTACGAAGCACAGGCCTGCTACCAACGTTGTTGTTCTCATCATTCTCCCTTGTTATGTCTCTTTTCTTGAAGAAAATTCGACATAACACCAGGTTGGGGTTCTGCAGCGACAAACCAGACAAACAGACAAGAATCAGCTCAGCTGAGCTCAATTGAACAGTCCAACATAAAAGAAGAGTTAAAAGAAGAAGTAGGAGATGCTCACGAAGGGGGGAAGTTGGGCATTCATGGCGGATGGAGGAAAATCAACCAGGCGATACTCATGCATAATCCAATCAGTCTTCATGCCATATGGAAACTTCCCAACGTAGAACACCAGGGATTTCTTCCACCCCACGAGCTGATCCTGCTTGGAAGAGACAACAGCACGGTCGTTTCCAACGGGCTTCCAGTACCCAGAGGCAGTGATTCTGATGAAGCTTCCCCCATTGGGGAATTTGGGGAATTTGGTGCTGAAAAAGTACCTCTCCCGCTGCCAATTTCCTGACCCAGAAAAAAACACAGAAACCCCATCAGTAAAAAATCAACCCCAAATGAAAAGAGCAGAAACAAAAGGAGATGGAATTAGGGGGAATGGTGGAAGTGAAATGGAACCTGGGAGGACCCATGGGTCGAATCGGCCGCCATCGATGTCGGAGATGACGGGGGCAGGAAGGGGGAGTGAGAAGGCTCTTCTCATGAGGTATTGGAGGAGGAGTTCCTCGTCGGTGGGGTGGAAGCGGAAGCCAGGGGGGAAGCGGAGGACGCCATTCTTGAGGTAGGCGATTCTGTTGGCGGCCATTGTTGGGAATTGAATTGGAGATTGGATGGGTGGAGTGAGTTGAATAGGAGCGGCGAGGGTGAGGTTTTATAGTGATGGCTTTGTAGGCGGAGGGGAGGAGTGGTGGGCTAATACGTTTTTAGCGTGAATTAGACTCAATCTCTCTCTCTCTCTCCCTCCCTCAATTTCATCCCCCTTCATGTTTAACACACAGCCCCTCAACGGAACTCAATGTGCTGGTTTTACGGTGGATTGTAATTTTAAACAATGCCTTTTCTTTTTCTTTTCCTTTTTTTTTTTTTTATTTTTTTTTTAAATATTTTTAAATACGGATGATTATCTACCTCTAATTAACACGAGTTTGGTAGAAAAATTCACGAGAGAGGTCACCTAATAAAGAATTGCTCCAAACAAAGCAGGTTCAATTTTAAAGCTCGAAAAAAAAAAATGTACCTAGACTATATTTGAACTCGAGTAGTTTTGAGGATAAGATGACTGAGAAAAAGTTTAGTTTGGCCGGGATAGTTTTTACTCTTAAAGCAGTGCAAGAGGAACATGTACTTGTTTTGTGGAGGATAGTTTTCACTCTAAGAAACCTCAGTGTAGTGGTTTTCTTGCAGGAGAATGTCGGAGAACGCCCAAGTCATTAGATTTCCGAATTTTGATATGAATCTTATACAACGATTTTATTGGTATAATTAATAACGTCAACTTCTGTTAAGTTTTTCTTAGTCATTGTATTTTTAAGATCGCTCTCATTAGATGGGGTCGGATTCAATACCCATTATTTATTTTTTTAAAAATAAATAAATAATACGAGTATATCCAAAAAAGGCAAAGTAAAAAGTTTTTTTCTATAGATGGAAGGTAATCTCCCCTCATATACGTCATCTAATAAAATAAAATAAAAATAATAAAAAGTGTAATATATATATTAATTATAATTTTTATTTATGATGTCATGCTAACATAATGAAAATTAATTTATTTGTCATTTCTAATTAAAATTTAACCGTCTTATAACGTTTCTTCTTAATTAAAAAACAACTTTATTTATGAAAAAGGGTTTCATAAAAGGAAATTGTTAGATAAAGTATTCGCTTTTCATTTTTTTTTCCCCTTAAAAAAATGAATTGCTGTCAATTTGGCGTGTGAAAATGGAGAAAAGGGTAATTTGGTAATTGACGGAGATAAGGACGGGTCGGGTAAGGGAGAAACCAAGTATCCAAGAGGGATTTTCAAATGGGAAAGTACGAAAGTACCCACGTCATTACTGCTACCTTTGTTTGAGTGTGGGAGACAAGGGAGATCGCTACAAGTGCCCTAACTATTAAAATAATGGATTTTTATTTCATATAATAAATTAATTTAGATTATATGATATTATCCAAATTTCATCCTGGATTGATTTTTAAAAAATTATTACCATTATTAATTTTTTTTTAATTATTTCAAAAAATACCTTTTCCGCTCGATGATTGGTTGAAAACGAGCATAAATGGTTTGAACCTTCGAATCTTGAAGCTGTATTGAACGTCCCAAATAAAAGGATAAACACGTGGTCCGTTAGCTATAAAAAATAGAAGTTTACGTGAAGATAAGTGGACGTTGAAGGATTTCTGTGGCATTCATAATTGTACTGATTAGAAAGAAAATTTATAACGGCTCATGACGTAATTGGAATGCTTCCACATGGACGCTCGTCGAAAGATTTTGGTGACGTTCATAATGTATTGATTAGAAAGAAAATTTGTAACGGCCTCAGCATCTAGAACATGACGTAGTTGGATAGCTACCACATGCACGCTCGTTGAAAGATTTTGGTGACATTTATAATTGTACTTAATAGAAAGAAAATTTGTAACGGCCTTAACGTCTAGAACATGACGTAATTGGACAGCTACCACATGCACGCTCGTTGAAAGATTTTAGTGACATTCATAATTGTCCTGATTAGGGAGAAAATTTATAACGGCCCCAACTTCTAAAATGTGACATAATTGAACAGTTACCACGTGCATGCTCGTTGAAAGATTTCATAATACTCATTAGGGAGAAAATTTGTAACGGCCCCAACTTCTATGACGTAATCGAACAGCTACCACGTGCACCGCTAAATAATACAAAGCCAACATTTAAAGTTGAAAATTTATCAAAAGGGTTTCCTATTTAGTTTGGAATCCCTAGAAATCTTAAAAGCATAAAGGTTAACGGCAAATACGTGCAGTTCTAAGATTTGTATGATCTTTCCAAAAAACCTCATCATTCGTTCGTAACGCTTTTGTCCTGTATCGACAAGATCTTGTAATGATTAAATAAAAGCCTTAACGTCATGAAAAAAGTGACGACATCCTAAATAAATGGAATCGTGTATTTAATCAGCTATACCTACATCGACATATGTCACAGTAAACTAAATTATAAAAATAGAAAAACTCCGACATTAGAATATATGTTACCTCGTACCTTAATATATAAATAGAGAGGTCAAAATACATTTTCCGTTAGATGAGTGGTCGAAAATGAGCATAAATTGATGAACCTTCAAATCTTAAAGTTGTATTGAACATCCAAAATAAAAGGATAAAAAATGATACTAGATCCGTTAGTTGCAAAAAAGTAGAGGTTTACATGTAGATAAGTGGGCGTTGACGGATTTCAGTAACATTCATAACTGTATTGATTAGAGAGAAAATTTGAAACGGCCTCAACGTCTAGAATGTGACGTAATTGGACAGCCACCGCATGCACGCTCATTGAAGGATTTTAGTGACATTCATAATTATACTGATCAGGGAGAAAATTTGTAATGGCCACAACTTCTAAAAATGTGACGTAAGACAGCTACCACGTGCACCGCTAAAAAATTCAAAGTCAACATTTAAAGTTGAAAATTTACCAAAAGCGTTTTCGTTTAAAATAGGAAACTTTAGTTTGAGATCCCTAGAAAACGTGCATTCTTAAGATTTTTATGGTCTTTCCAATAAACGTCATCATCCGTTCATAACGCTTTTGTCCTATATCGACAAGATCTTGTAATGATTAAATAAAAGACTTAACGTCATGAAAAAAGTGACGACATCCTAAATTAATGGAACCGTGTATTTAATCAACTATATCTACATCGACACGTTACATTAAACTAAATTATAAAAATAGAAAAACTTAGACATTAAAATGTACGTTAACTCGTACCTTAATATATAATTAGGAAGGTCAAAATATCCAAAATTATTTCTCATATAGGTTATTATTATTATTATTGTTATTGAAATTATTTTTATTCATTTTGTTTTTCTTTTTTTTTTTTCTAAAACTTGCTTAAAAACATTAAAAAGATTAAAATGAAAATGAAAAAGAGGAAAAATGGGGAGGTGAGTCCATATGTCCTATCTTTCTTATCTCCATTTCTATTTCAATATTTATCCCTACGAAAAGAAATTACATTTATTTTTGGGAAGATCAAAGTGAAAAATATATATAAAATGAAGCAAGATCGAGGGTGGAAACGGGGAATATGATTTTCCTTTCCACTCACTCTACTATTTTCTCCGTTATCTGTTTAAACGAAAAGTTTACTGTCTCACTCGGAGCATTATTCTATGGGGGAGGACGTTAGGAATTTTTATTAAAATAATGAGCTTGGTCAGCGACAAAGGGAATAATATTGGAGGGGAAGGGACAAAAGGGTCATTATATATGACAATCAATTTCAAGATTTCCACTTATCTTATGGTCTCCATATTTTGGATCAAGGAGTAGAATTTTGGATATGTACGTCTTTTGGGAATCTTTACCCTCCCAAGTTACCATTTTGCCCTTAAAAGCCTGCCCGTGTTATCATTATAATTATAAATATGATGGGAATGAAATGGACTATTTTTGAAAAGGATTGGGCTTTGGAAAAATATACCACAAAATTGACACTCTTAAAGTAAAATAATTAAAATATATATGTATTATCCTTTTTTGTAGCCTCACAAATTGACATACAAATACGTCAAATCCTCTTCGTATTATCAAAACGTTGACTTTTGTTTTTTCAATATATTTAGGTTGAAGGTATAAGTGACCTTTCCTACGAGTCAAAGATTTTGAACCAACAGTGCTATGTTTTTTTTTTATATAAAAAAAAAACAAATATTGGGAGAAAGAAAATCATTTTTACCTTCAAGTTTATCCATTTTTACCCTAAACTTAGTGTTGCAATTTACACCTTAAACTTGATAAAGTATTGCAAGTTCATGGGTGGCTAGGTCTTGATTGAAGAACGATAATGTTCGAGGTCATGATGAAGATTTGTAAAAAAGACCAGACTTGATTTTGTTTTCGAATTTTCCCTCCTCTTAATCAAACTTTTTTTTTCTTTCCAAAACCACACAGAGGGAATTCAAACCTCGAACCTTTTGATCAGTATGAGCTACGCAATTGTGAAAATAATGCAAACATGATTCATAAATAATAATGAATAATTAGCATGAGAGAGAGAGAGAGAGAGAGAGAGAGAAGTGAACGAATATTATAAATCCACACCCACTTGATCACTTTGAACATATTCATATTGAGACGTAAAAGAAAAGTTGTGGTCTCCTAAGAATCTGTCTCTCTTCGCTATATTTTGTTCTCAAAAAGGTTCAAAGGTCAAAGGAGATTGCGTGTTACGTTGAAGATAGCAAATAATTGTTTCAAGTTATGCATACAATCTCCCACTCTCTCTCTCTCACTCTCTCTCATCGTCTCACAGCCACCATTATGTTTCTACCTCTTTTGCTTCATTACCATTTAATCTATTGTTTTCACTTCATTAATTGGAGGACTTTTCGTCTAATTTTTGATGATTTGATCAAACAAGTAATCACTTTTAATGGATTGGTGAGATATGGTCGAAAGTCGTGGATTAGCTCAAATGGGAACTTGGGTTCAACGACTGCTAATCCACGCATCTAATGGGGCCGGAGACGACTCCAGCCACCACTAATATGCTGCTCTTGAGTATTATGGGCGGCGGAAGCAATGGTGGCTTACTGAGAACAAGAGACCTAAGATCTAAGGCAAGGGATTTTGGATTAGAATATGTAGTTGTTCTTGATTTTGT